CGCCGGGCGAGAGCTGGCCTGCCATTACGCTGCTTTGCGCAGCGAGTCCAACACCTTCCAGCGCTGCCATGATTTTTTGTTTGGCAGACTCACCGGCTGCGCGAGCTGCCAGGTCAGAAAAACTCCCGCCCATAACGCGCATGATGCTGTTGCCGCCAAGGCCGATGGCCACGTTGTCGTAGCAGCTGAGGTCGCGAAACACGGCAACGTGCTGGAAGGTGCGCGTGATGCCGTGCGACATGCGGCTGGTGGCGCCTTCTTTTTCAAGGGACAGCCCGAAAGCGCTGATGCTGCCGGTGTCAGGTTTGGTGAAACCCGAGAGCATGTTGAACAGCGTGGTCTTGCCTGCGCCGTTGGGGCCCATCAGGCCAAGGATTTCGCCGGGGTGAACCGACAGGGTGAGGTTGTCGACGGCGCGCAGCGCATCGAAAGACTTGCTGACATTGCCCACATGAAGCAGCGCTGATGTGTCCACCTGCGTTGGCAGGGGGGTTGTTTGTGCCGGTGCTTTGCCGGTCTGCGTCTGGCCGGATGCTTCTGCGGGCCTGGCCCGTCGAAGTTTTGCCAGCTGCCCCGCTATACCGCCGGGGAAAAACAGCACCGTCAGCAGCACCAGGCCGGCAAACAGCAGTTCCTGGTAATCGGCCACCGGTCTGAGCAATTCGGGCAACAGGCGCAAGGTGGTGCCGCCCAGCAGGCCGCCCCAGACGCTGCTCATGCCGCCAACGATGGGGTAGGCGAGGGTAGCGATGGAGGCCAGGATGCCGTAGCTCTCCGGGTCGATGATGCGTGAGCGCGGCGCCTGGAGGCCACCTGCAATGGCCAGCACGGCTGAGCTGATGACAAAGGCAGCTATCAGGTGCTGGGCAATCGAGATGCCGAAAGCCTGTGCGGCCACCTCATTGCCGGCAATGGCCTTGAGGTTTCTGCCGAAGCGGCCAATCAGCAGGCCTATGGGTATCAGCAAAACAATGGCGGCGACGATGGCAGCAAAGGCCAGATAGGAAATATCGCTCTTGAGCTCCATGCCTGCAATGGTGACCAGCGGCACCTGCAGGCCTGCTGCGCCCTCGGTCATGGATTTCCATTCACGCAGTCCGATGATGACCACCGACTGGAACACCAGCGTCACCATGGCCAGGTTGTGTCCGCGGAAGCGAACTGCTGGCAGGCCCAGGATGAAGCCGCCCATACCGCCTATGACGGCGCCCATTAGAAGCGCAGGAATAAATGGAAATCCGAATTTGGCGACCAGGATGGTCGAGCCATACGCGCCGAGCGCCAGCATGGCGCCGCTTGCCAGCGTGATGCAGCGCGCAAAACCGACCAGTACCGTCAGTGCGGTACCTATCAGCATCGAGACGACCAGCAGGGTCGCTACATATTGCGGATAGGTGCCGACCTGGGTTGCTATCAGGAAAACGCCCAACACGCAGAGTGAAGGTGCAAACCACTTGAACCACTGGGCAAGCAGCCGGCTTTTGTCATGGCTGCTGCCCATGCTTTTTGACGTCATGGCCGGCTTTTTATGGGCAAGGGTGATGTCCTCAGACATGTCGTTTCTTCGCTTCAGGGAAAAGGCCTTCGGGCCGGAACAGCATGACGGCAAACAGCACCAGGAAGCTGATCGCACTCTTGAGGGCGCTGGACCCATAGGCCGCAGCCAGCGTTTCAATCAGGCCCAGCAGCAGGCCGCCGTAAATGGCGCCCTTGAGGCTGTCGAAACCGCCGATCACGGCAGCGACAAACGCCGATGCAATCACGATGATGGAAAGTTCCGGCGACACACCTTTGGCTGGTGCGGCAAAAACACCTGCAATACCGGCAATGGCACCGCCAAAAAACCAGGCCAGCGCGTAGGTCTTGTCAACAGAAAAGCCGCAGAGCTGTGCTCCCCGGTAGTTGGCCGCCATGGCACGCATGCCGCGCGCCGCTTTGGCGTAGCGGAAGATGGCAATGCAGGCGGCGCTCACCAAAATGGCGCCGCAAATCGTCCAGAGCGCGTCCTGCGTGAGGATGACCGGGCCGATGAAGAAGGGGGCACCTGTGAAGGTGGATGGCACAGCGAGGATTTCCGCTTTATAGGTCAGGCGGAAACCTTCGGAAATCACAACGCCGAGGAACACGGTCGCAATGACCACCGTGAACAGATCGGCCCGGCGCAGGGGGCGGAGTATGACCACTTCAATGGCCGACGAAAAAATGCCGACCACGATGGGAACGATGAGGTAGGCGACCCATGCAGGCCAGCTTTTGTCGACCTGGATGTAGAAGGCACCGAACGCGCCCAGCAGCACAAAAGCGCCGTGGGCAAAGTTGACCGTGCGCGTGGCCTTGTGGATCACGACCAGGCCGAGCGCGGCCAGGGCGTATATGGACCCGAACTTCAAGCCGCCAAGGATGATGAGGGCAAATTCAGTCACGGCAAATGGCTCCCATGGCCTTTATGGCATTTGTGGCTTGCGGTATCGGGTCGTGCATGCATTACTTCACCACCACCCACTTGTTCTTGACGACTTCGGTAGCGCCGAGCAGCTTGTTGCCCTGGTGATCCTTGGGGGTGAAGGTTTCGGGGTAGATCACGTCAAAGCCGCCCATCTTTGAAGGCGCTGCGCCCTTGAGGGTGTCCCACTTGCCGATCAGGCCTTTCCAGGTCAGGTCGTTGCCGGCTGCCTGGATTGCCTGTGCCAGCACAAAGGTCGAGCCGTAGCCGACGATGTCAAACAGGTTGGGGCGACCCTGTGGTGGCGTGCCGTATGTGGTTTTCCAGAGGGCTTCGAAATCTTCCATCGGCTTTGCGTTCTGGCCGGGGTAGTAGGGTGCGTTGTAGTAACCGCGAATGCCGTCGGCATTGCCGATGATGGGGATGATGGCGTTGTTCACGGCTGAGCCGTCGAGTACCCAGCGAACATTCATCAGGCCGACCTGCGGAGCCTGCTTGATGGCAAAGCCGGCTTCGGTGAAGCTGCCCAGCACCACGACGGCATCAACCTTGTTGCGCGAGAGATTCACCAGCTGGGCGGTGAAGTCCTTGGCGTTCTGGTCAAAGGTTTCAAGGGTCAGTGCCACGCCCTGCTTTTCGAGCAGGGGCTTGAGCACGGCGAGGTTGGCCTGGGGGTAGGCATAACTGCCGACCAGCACGCCGACACGCTGGGGTTTCTTCTCGCCGGCACGGGCCAACTGCGCGACCAGCGCACCGGCCGTCACTTCGGTGCTGGCTACAGCGCCGTGGAAGACGTTGGCAGCAAACGGTTCACGAATCACCGGGGTGGAACCAAACAGGTTGTACGTGGGTACGCCGACGCTGCGCACATAGTCCGCAGCAGCGGCTGCACCGGTCGAGCCGGAGGCCAGCACCAGCGCAAAAACCTTGTCCTGCTCGACCAGTTTCTTGGCGGCGGCAACGCTCTCGGCAGGTGAGAAGGCGTGTTCAAACACCAGCTTGAGCTTGCGGCCATTGATGCCGCCGCGTTTGTTGATGGTGTCCACGGCCATCTGCATGCCGTCGCGCGACGGTGCGCCAATGAAGGCTGTGCTGCCGGTCAGGGGGCCGAGCGCGCCTATGGTGATTTCCTGCGCGGTCACGCCTTGCTGGGCGAATACGGGGCTGGCAACTCCCGCAATCAGCATGGCCGACGAGGCCAGCAGGGTTTTGAGAAATTTAAGTTTCATGGCGATCTCCAGTTAGTCCGGTTAGTCCGGGTAGGTAAGGGTCATCGGTTAAGGCGCTGTTGCAAAAATACTGGGAGTACATCAATCACACGCGGGCGTGAGCCTGAATAAATACTAACTCCGGCCCCTCTGAAAACGATCTTTTGACGGGTATTCAATTGGAAGTATTCGCACTGCGAATTTTGGGTGGCTCCATCGGCCGCAACAGTTCAGGAAATGGCAGCCGCGCGCTTCAGGCTGTTGTGCATGGATTGCTCCAGCATGTAGTTGCGTCGTGATTCGAGGTCGTCCACGATGCGGGCCATCTCGCTCTCGGCCCGGGATTGCCGGTCTTCCGCGCTGGTTTCAAGCGCCTTTTTGTTCTTGATGGTCTGGGTTTGCACAAACTCGTTCATGATGGTGCGCCGCTGGCGGTCATACAGGTCCAGAAGTGCATCCGCGTTGCCGCCCTGCTGGAAAATCTGCAGCAGCTTGTCCGTGAGATTCCAGACGTCATGGATGCCGGAGTTCATGCCCAGGCCACCCAGCGGGTTGTTCAGATGGGCGGCATCGCCGACCAGCAGCACCCGGTTCACCCTGAATGTGGTGGCCACGCGCTGGTGAACCCTGTAAATCGTGCGGTGTTTTGTCTGTACTTCCGCGCCATGCCCGATCAGGCCCTGGAAGATGGCGTTCTTCTTTTCGTCCGACAGCAGGTACTCATCGCTCTGGCTTTCCGAGGCCGGCACCAGTACCCGCCACAGCGTCGGAACACGCAGCAGCACGCACCATTCGGTGGGGTCAGCCACATAGCTGACGTAGGGCAGCTTGTCGAAGTGCTTTTCAAGCGGCCATTCGGTAGAGAGGGTCAGGAATTTTTCCGGGTAAGTGAAGCCTTCAAACTTCACGCCAAGCCATTTGCGGACCAGCGAGCTGGCACCGTCGGCAGCGATCAGGTAGTCGCCTGTGAAGTGTGCAATCTCGAACGGGTTTTCGGCATGCACGGTCACGACCTTGTCGTCCTGCGAAAAATGCACCACGCGGTGCGAATACAGCACGGTGGCATTCGGGTGATCAGACAGTTTTTTATACAGCAGGCGGGCGAGCTTGAACTGCTCGCATTGCAGGCGGTAGGGATGCTTGAGGACATCAGCCACTTCTGTCAGGTCAAGGGTGAGCGCCTTGCCGGTCTGGCGGTTCAGGTACTGGTACACCGGCGCCTTGAGCCCCTGGGCCAGCAGATCATCGAGAACGCCCAGCTCGTCCATCATCTCCAGCGTGCTGGCGTGGAAGGTGGAGGCGCGCATGTCCTCCTTGACGCCTGCCTCGCTTTCGAGCAGCAGCACCTTGATGCCGCGTTCGGCGAGCCGATAGGCTGCGACGGTACCGACGGGGCCGGCCCCGGCAATGATGACCTGATAGTGTTCCATGCGTCGTGTGTCTTTCTGTCTGTTTTGTCTGTGTTTATGGTTCGCTGCCCGAACGTTAAACACTTGGCCGGCCGATGGCTATAACGAAGCGTGGCATT